TGGGAGGGCTCGCTCGGCTGCCCCCCTTGGAGGCCGGGCTCGCCAGCTCGGGAGCGATCCCTCGGGAAAAGGGGGTGCTCTCGCAGGAAGCAAAGCCACGCTCCAACTCGGGGGGCGGGAGGGTGTCTGCGGGGCTCTGCCCTGCCCTGGCCCGCCGGCAGCACCCTCTTCTTCTGCGGCCTTGCTGGAAAACAGACCTCAGATGGCCAATGTGCGAGCCCCCTGGGAGGGAGATGGATTGCCCTAAAGAGGAAGACTGGATAAATGATGAAAATATGAGGAGAATTAAATTTAGAAGAGTCTCAATACTTGAGGTGGGAGGGTAAGCGAGATGGGCAGAGGTGCGTCTTTGAACCAGAAGAAATTAGATTTGGGTACAGTCTCCCACACCAATAGGCATTCTTGCACAGAATGATGTTTGTCAGAAAAGAGGCTCTTGATGCCAAAGAGTTTTAAGAGGAGTTAGTGAACGCTTGCAGAGCTTGTTGCTCTGGTTGTTGGTGTAGGGTCAGATGTGATTTCCAAGCGCGTTCCTGGCCTCCCTGCAGATAGCTCCACTAAAAGAGGAACTGGTAATCATTCCACTTAACCTTGTGCCATACTAAAACATTTGCATGTGAATTCTTGTGATTGTTGCTATCTGTGTTGCACCTCAGCCGGAGAAAAATCTCCCCCTCTCATTGGCATCCTGTGAACAAAAGACACTGCAAACATTTGGTGTGTCACTCCATTGGTGGGTTATGAGAGTATTCCCATCATGCTAACAGAGGAAATTCAAATACAAAAAGATGAAGTTTTTTCTGCTCAGGCTTTTTTAGCAAGGACTTACCTCCTTGGGAAGGCAGTTTGAAGTATGCAAGAACATGCTATTACACAGTGCACAGGCAATCCGTACTGCTTTTCACGAGGAACTCTGGAGAAGAGTGTGATGTAACATCCTTTGTACAGTGAAAAGTTATAGGCATCTGTGGCAGCAAACAGAACAAATCTTGAATCCTAATTACAGTCCCTATTCTAACCCCACTAGACTTTTCCTTCCCTTTCAGGTTTCCTTCCTCTCTGACTTTGTCCTGAGCTTGGGTGAAGGATGAAAACATGTTTCAGATCAGTCAGAACACACACTACTTAATTTCCTAACCAAAAGGGCTTATTTGGCCAGGAGAGGTGAGGGAAATGGAAGAAAGACGTTCACAAACAAGAGTCCAGTGCATTAAGGGGAGGGAAATACGGTGTTCAGCCTCTGGTTTTGGTCTTAATGTGAAGTACTTCCACTGTTCTCACTTTATAGTCTTGATGCCAAAGGGTTACAGTTGGGGGACACAAGTGGTATGAGCTCTTGCAATAACAGGTGAAATTGGGCTATCCATTTTTGGGGGCATCTGCTAGCACCCCTGGGATCCAGATCTATAAACTCTATTCAGCGCACCGTGATCCGAGATCCCATTCCCAAGCTCACCAGGCATACAGCTGAGAAGATGCTGGGATGTAGGAAGCAGCAAGGATGGATTGGCTCTGTTTCCCTAGCTCCTTTTCCCCTCTAGGGATGTGTTTTTCTCTTTGAGGGCTGCTTATATCACCACCCATCTCTGTGACATCAAGTTTCTTTGAATGGCTGATGCAACAGATGAGAGTTAGGGCAGTGAGTGTACTCTACAGGCCTAGCTCCTTTGAAAAGCCAGGTACTCTCCATGTGCTGGAGTGCGAATAGGCCTTTTTAGGTGTTGGGAATCAGACAGTGGTTTGCCTACTCTGAAATTTTTGGCCTTGAATGGTATCCAGTATTGGGTGTTGGGGGAAATAACTCTCAAAAGAGTTGTCCATAAACTAAACTTAACACTGTAAAATGATGACCGCAGGAGGCTGTGATCAGACTTTGTAACACAGATCAGCTGCAGGGGCTGTGTCTTTCACCGAGGTGTGAGGGCTCAGAGATCCCCCCTGGTCTCCATTTCCTTCCAGTAGATTGGGTGTGAGTGGGCACCCAGCGAGCTGTGCCATGGTGGCAGGACATGGGCGACTGACCGTGCACGCTAGGCTTGAGAGTGCCGCCCTCCTGTAGGTCGTCTCCTTTCTAGCAACAGGGTGGGGTATTGCTTTGCTTGGAGCTTCTGGGACCATCAAATGAGTGCGCACTGGAAATACAAATTGATGTGTGCTTGCCTCATTAAGAAATGATGGATTTTAAATGAGGTGGTTATGAGGGCAAAGACAGGAAGTGTTGCATCTAATGGGTTCACATAGAGAGAGAGGGGAAAAACCAGTTTCTTTAGTCAGGCTACCAACTGGGATTGGTATTGCTCCCCGTGTTGCTTGCAAAAGAAAGATTAGGGAGGCGCTTGGATACATTTAAGCACCATAAAAGAAACTGTTGCTAAACTAAGCTGTCCAAAAAAGCACTTCTGTGATATGGATAAAGGTGGAGCTCCGTCTGTGCCTTGCTCCCATTTGCCTTGTTTCATGTACAGCATGGCCCACTTAGTACGTGAAAATCTCAGGATCCCCTTTCTAAAAGCGGAGTCCCAATCCCATGCGTACAGCCTGCCAGGGAGCGTGAATCTAGGAGTGGCGTGATGCAACCCCTCCACACAAGTGATGAGGGACCAAGGACGTGTTCAGTCAGTCTGCTAAGCCTGGCAGAGGTATGTGCTCTGGGAAATCTGGGCCCTCTTCCTAGCTCGCTCTCTCCGGCTTTCAGAATAACTAAAGGGAAAGCAAAATAGATCTGAGTTCCTATCTTTTCTATCACAAATAAATTCCTTTCTGGAGGATTGTGAAGACTGCCTAATATTTATAGCCCTTCTGAGATGTGCAGTGGATGATGCTGGGTAAGAACAAAGCATTAGGGTCTCCTGTCCTGTCAGTGTGGGATTGAGGGATGGAGTCTTTATTCTTCTCCTCCTGCTTCTATTGCCCCATTAAAATGCTATAGACCTGATGCAAAAGAAACTGCAGCCCAGTCTGGGCTGCAGGCCCAGATCTGAGAGAGAGAGCAGGCTGTACTTTCATCAGTTTAATTACTTGAGGTGCAGGAGGCTCTTCGTAATTAACTAGTCCCCGGCTGAACTGGTTGCCATTATGCCATCTTAGTGTTGCATAGTCCTTTGAGGAAAAGGGGATCTGGGGGTCTGTACTAGTAAAGGCAGGAGCAACAACCCAGAATCATTACTCTGTGCTGTCAACATGCACTTAATCTGTCTGGTCTCCACTCAAAAAGCATCAAAGTCTCCATGCTGAAGAAATGAAACAAAGTTAAATAGTCAGCCTGTCCTTGTTGTTACCTCTTTCATTGTTTCTGCCTGGAAATGATTTCCTATGACTCAGTGTGTCAGCTCACAGCATGCAAACTGACTCAGCTTGTGCGGTTCCAGAGACGGCTCCATCCCTGTACCACTCTCTGGAGCCTTCCCTGCTCCTGCTGCAGCTGAACAAACCCAGTTTCACATCTGCTCCTGCCATTCCTGTGCCGTCTCCTGCAAGTGAGCCAGCCGGTGCTGCCTCTGCTTGCTCCAAGCAGGGTACAGAAATCAGGCACTGGAGATGGCAATTGGCACAACAGGAAAATGAGTACCAGTGGTCAAATGGCGCTACTTAGTTTTCCAAAAAAAAAGAAAAGAAAGATCAAAACATGGGAGAGAAAATGGATAGAGACTGAGTTTAGCTCAGTGATGGTGTCTGGAGCTAGACTGAAAAACACTTACAGATGGCAGTTTCCAGAGGCAGCGACAGCCCATCTCTCAAGGTTAAGCAGTCTCTGGCCTCTGTGCTGTGCGGGCACAAGCCGAGTGCGACCATGTGGCAAACCAGGACAGGGAACTGATCTGACTGAAAACTACCCATGCTTGCTGGCTTGGCTTTCCGCTGGTTCAGGTGCCTGACCTGGTTCACCAGTCACTTGTGCCAACCCAGGGCAGAAGAAGGAGGTACGGAAATGAGTGGCTATAGAAATACATGTGCAAGGTGTGGAGTGGCTAAGCAGTGCAGGTGGCTACAAAACCATGGCCAGCAGAGGCAGCTGGGCATGGCAGAGTGGAAGGCCCAAAGGAAGATCTGGTTCTGACTCACTTTTTCTTAGCTGGGGATAGCCCAGCTCTGGGGGAAGTCTGAGGAGGAACTGAAATGCTAAAAACCAAACTGCTGTGAAAAGCTGCAGTCTGGTATCAGAGGGGTGCGTGCAAGTCATAAGCTATCCTTCAGAAGGAAAATGCTCGGCTGTTTCTCCAAGCCTGTCAGTCACACCAAATTTGTGCCTTCTCCATTATATTTCTCCTGTGGACAGGACCCTTCTTTTTCCTTAGACACGTTTTCTCAGCTGCTGACAAGGCTGCAGTTATCCCCTGTGGAGCAAATGGTGAGGAAAATCTGACTGGATCCACGAGGCTGAGGCCTCAGAATGGGACAGCAGTCAGTTCGAATGGTGAACTTTCAGAAGTCATCCTCTGACCATGTAATTCAAAGCAACGAACGCTGCAGGGGGGGAGTCATGATGCTGCCAAGCCTGTGTCCTAGTCAGTGCCAGCTCACCTGAGATGCCAGGAGGCAGCGAGAGACCTTTATACCCTTGCTTACAGGACTGTTCCATGCTTCGGTGGCTTCAGGGAAACTCATTCTCCATTTTTGCCTCTCTCTCTCCTTCTCTTATTTTTGTTTTGTGCCTTCCAGTTTGCATACTCAAATGAGGCCAAGCTCCCTCGGTCCCTTCCTGTCTTGCATCTCGTCTTGTCAGTTAACTTTACCTGATTCTTCCAATGTAACATTGCCTAAATGCAGGACCCCTTCACACAGTTTCTCTTGCAGCTCTGTGGTGGTGTTTCGTTCTGAATGCCTTCTCAGTGATCAGTGTGGGAACAGAAGAATGCTCCTGGTGTGGTCACTTCAGGCAGCAAAAAGGGGCTGGTTTCAGAGGAACACGCTCCCTGTAGCTATGTGCCACTGAGTTCAGCAAGAAGCTGGAGAGGCTTGGAAGCAGTGATTTATGTTCTGCTCCCCATTTCAGATTCCCATACCAAGTGTGCCTGCGTTCCAGCCGTCCACCCCCATCCCTGAGCGCCTGGAAGCTGTACAGCGCTACATCAGGGAGCTTCAGTATCCTTTACTGTTACCTTAGTCACTGGTGTGATAACCCAGGAAGAAAGAGCAAGGGGACTTTCTTTCCCTGTGAAGAACAGAAAAGCTCATTCTGTTGTAGCTGGAGGGGAACTGAAACTTGCTCCCTGAAAACAGGAAGCTGGACATGGGATGATGGTTTGTCTTGCTGCTCTGTGTCTTTTCTTTCCTGCCCAAGTTACCTTCTGATCCTGTTCATTCCAGGTAACAAATGGGCATGTTGTCAAGGGCTTTTCCCCACTACCCACTCTTCTAGGTCAGTGGCTTTACAGTGCCATTTTGTTAAAAACACGCATATCTGAGACCCTGACAGCCAGCTCTCAGATGGACTACAAACTGAGTCACCTCACTGTTAGGCACTGGTGAGCTGTGGTGACGAGAAAACTGCCTCTGGGGTCATCCTACTCGAACGCTCTTCTCTGTAGCTGTCTAAAGGACAGTCAGCCACTCTGCTTTTGTGCATCTGTGGTATCCTGCCCCTTTATATGCACAGTTGCCTGTGTGACTGTGTCCTGGGAATAAGATTTCTCCATCCCTGTTGTGCTGGACAGCAGGTACGTGCCATGAAAGCACAGTCTAATCTGACTGATGAGGTACAGAGCTACTCTGGCTTCAGCCCTAAAACAAGGAAAGAAGGCAGACCTTTTGGCATTTCTCACCCTTCTAAGGTGGTTGTGCTCTGGATTGGGTCCCAGTCAGTCTTAGAATAAGGTACCATGAATGTTGCAATGCTCTGTGCATTCTGTGCAGACCAGAGCAGGAAGAGATCTATCAAACTTTGTTCTGCCCTGGTAACTGGAAAGCTGAGAAGAGCATGTACTGTCAGCATGGACCTTTGGGAAATAGAGTAGAAACCTGTGTGTGTGCAGGAGAAAGAGAAGAATTGACAAGAAGGAAATAAATCAGAGAAATGCAGAAGAGGCAGGTGGGGACTTTCTTGCATTGCTGTTGTATTTGTGGAATCATGACTTTGCTGTGAGATTAGTAACATGAAAGTTCCTCAGACAGGTTTTCTTCAAACTCTACTTTCCAAGCTGCCAAGCCCTTAACTTCTTGCCTCCAGGTACAATCACACTGGGACACAATTCTTTGAGATTAAGAAGAGCAGACCTCTGACTGGGTAAGTGCTGGCAGCCCCTACAGCATTTAATCCTTGCTTTAAGATGTTGGGGTCCTGCTATACCCACTGCTTTTTTTTTCCATCCCCTGGCCATGGTCTAGGTGGCACTCAGGGCTGTCAGTACTGCAGCTCCATCCTACTTTAGGTGACTTTATTGTCTGTTGCCCAAGGCACAGCTAGGCAGAGCTGTATCTGGCCTTTCTCAAGGACAAGAGTACATTCTGTTGTCATGAATCTGTAAATCCAGTAAAATAATGCAAATTTATTTCAAAGATGTGCAGATTTTGCCTGCTTCTAATTGGAATATAACTATATGAACTTCTGATGGATTCTGAAATTAGGTCCTGCCCTAAGCAAGCTTCATAAAAGCTAAGTATCTTTACAGGTCTAACTTCATTGCTCCTGTGAGTCCCTTTGCAGAATCGAGCGTCACTAAGCTTTTGGTGTCTCATACTTTGAAGAAGGGGGATTCTCCTGACTGCAGATTCTGGGAAGAGCTAGGCCCCATAAGTTCCTGGAGATAAGCACTTGACATTCACTGACTCTCTTGGCCAGCATATCGGGAGTCTACCAAGACTGGCTTCTTAGTACTGGTCTAATCCATAGACTTATGTGACCCCAAATGTCTTGTGTTGTAACCAGTGCAATGTCTACTCCACAGTATTTGTTGAACAGAGAGTAGGGTTGATGCAGAGAAGGCAGAGAAGAGCACTTCACTGTCCTTGAACCTTGTGAGGCAAACATTGCTGGATGTTGGCTCTTTGAGGCTTCTGCTTGTGGCCACATTGGTGTCCATCCAGAACTCACTGAGCCAAGCAGTGTGGTCTCCCTGAGAACAGAGGTTGGCCTAGCAGGCATCTTTGCTGTAACTCACTGAAGGGAGTTCCTTGTAAGCAGTGACAGCATGTGGTAGAGACCTGGTTTGGATTTAATATCTTCCTAAAGAAGATATTTTGTTCTGTTCCCTGTCCTCAGTGAGCCACCTTCTGTCCTGGAAACCTGCCTTACATATATAGTGCAAAAGGGCTGAACTGGCCGTACTTGCATAGCACAAGCCCTCCTCTAACTGTCCTCATCTTTCCCTTGTCCCACTCTGCAGGCTGATGGACCTGGCCAAAGAAATGACCAAAGAGGCCCTGCCAATAAAATGCCTGGAAGCTGTGATCCTGGGAATGTATCCTTTCCTCTTGGAATTTTGCATGTCTGCCCATCCTTGTGTTTTCTCCTCTGCTCTCTTATGATGCTTTGAGGCTGCTGATAATATTGTCACCAAGTCCCACATCCCTCTGTTTTCCCTCCCCAGTTCTCCCAAAAAAACCCACCAATAAAATCCAAATCCAAGCAATTCTCTGAAATATCAGAACTACTTCTTCAGAGTTGCTCCTCCTTCCCTAAGAAGGGTGGTGCTGCTCTGGACAACTCTCCAAGAGAGTAAAAGATAAAGGAAGGATCTAAGGAGAGGCAAAAATATTAGCTAGAGTTAGGTCAGGAAGTCCTTTGTGGATAACATTGTTCCTCTACTGCAATGTTGCCTGCATGTGTTCTACATTAAAATAAGTTAGGGATCCTCCCCAACTTCTAATTATGGTATATGTCACTTTACTATTATGTCTAACACTGCCTGCCAGCTTAGGCGATACCTTTACTAATTCTAGACATGTGCCGTCTTCAAGTACGCATCTTTCCTAGTTATCTTCCAGCCTTAGTCTATGTCACTCAGGCTATAGATTCTTAATGCACATTGGCAAAGCCACCTGGATGGGCAGAGATGGCAAGTGAACGGTTCAGAAGGGTAGTCTGCTGAGTATTTTGACCTGAAGTTTCCTCAGTTTGTGTGTGAAATAGTAGCTAGTTAAAAGAGACTAAAAGAAACTGAGGAATAATGCTACAGCATTAACAATTTGGGAGCTATGGAATACAGTACACTTGAGGCGTTAGCATTGCAGCTTCTGCTTCACAAAACTGCCTTGAAATTAACTTCCCTTTGTTGACTGTCTTGTTGAGGAGGCCAAGTGCGGTTTCCCCATGACCCAGCTGAAAGTAGGGCAGCTTGCAATGAGCTGGACTCTTGATCCAGAGAACAAATCCTGCCTATGTGATGCCTGAATTAGTGGCGAGTCTGCTGAGCAGGCTGGGAGGCTTTGGAGCAGGAAGGAAGTATCTTGTCAAGAAAATGGTATCACTGGTTGTTTCCTGAATAGTGGCTGCTCTCAGTTACCTCACCAACAACATGACCACGCTGGACCGTTTCCCCATCAGCTTCAAAACCCACTTCTCAGGGAACTACTTCCGACACATTGTGCTGGGGGTGAACTTTGGAGGCCGCTATGGGGCACTGGGCATCAGCCGACGTGAGGAGCTCATGTACAAAGCACCCGTCTTCCGCACACTGAGCGAACTCATCTTTGACTTCGAGGAGGCATATCGCCGCTGCTGGCACACTCTCAAAAAGGTGAAGCTGGGCCACTGTGTGTCCCATGACCCACACAGTGTGGAGCAGATTGAGTGGAAGCACTCCATCCTGGATCTAGACAAGCTAACCCGGGAAGACTTCCGCAAAGAGCTTGAGAGACATGCCCGTGACATGAGGCTAAAGGTAAGCAGCAAGGATGGAGAAGTAGTTTTCTGCGGCATCCACTGTCTTGCCTGGCTGATTGTGTGATGGGGGAATGAAGTGGCAGGAGGCTCTCCTAGATGGTGGTGGAGTAGAGGGTGAATTGGAGGCTGGGGGCTCTTTTCCTCTGTATATGGGCTGGTCCCCTAATGGATGCTTGTGCAGTACTGCAGTTGCGATTAGCTTGGACTGTATACAGAGCTGTCACTGTAGCTTGTTTTTTCTGGCTTTTGCATTTTTGATGCACTTGCCTTGCCTTTTGTCTTTTATTCCCATATAATTAATTGTTGTTAGGCTTTGTGTTTTCTGGTTACTATTCGTATTGGTTTCCTTCTCATGTTGCTCTTACTCTAATTTTTCTGGCAGATTGGCAAAGGAACTGGGCCACCATCTCCCACAAAGGACAGAAAGAAAGATGTCTCCTCTCCACAAAGAGGTCAGGCCAGCCCTCATCGGCGCAACAGCCGTGGGGACCGACGGTGAGTGGGGCTGCTGGGCAGAAGACCTCTCTAGAGCATCTCTGTTGCACTCACAGACTACACCTTCCTGTCTGGTTTTGGATCCTCCTGATGTCTTACTGGGGTTCTTTATAACAGGGGATACTTCTCTGACTTGCAGTAGCATTCTTCCCTATTCTGTGCCTTTGTGAGTTTATCATTGCTTGGGGAGTCAGGGGACAGCTGGGGATTTTTGTTTGTTTTGGCAGGGAGGAGGAAGGCAGCTCAAATGGACAGTGATCTTGGTAGCTGATATTTAACATTACACAGGGGTCTGAGCTCTGGTGTCTCACAGACCTGTGCCCTAAAGAGATTCCAAAAATTACATTGCTGTCAGTGAGACTGTTTTCCTGAAACTGATCTTGGGTACCAGAGTGGACCTCCTGCTCTTCCTAACCTGCATTCTCTTCTGTGGAGATCGTTGGGAGAATTACTGGAGGTTGCAGAATAATCCTGCCCTCAATAGTGTAGGATAAGTCTGAAGCTTTTCTGTACCTTTTCCTGTGCTGCCATCTCTATGTGCAGCACCTTCTGAATAGTTCTTGCCCTCTTTGCTCATAGGCCATCTGGTGAGAAGAAGCCTGCCGATTCCAAAGCCATGCCAGACCTCAATGGGTACCAGATCCGGGTGTGAAGAGAGCTGTGCCTTGTGTGCTTGGCTCCACAGACTTCTTGCTGGCCACAACTGGGACCTGGATCCACCTGCAGTGATTCTGACAAAGGGGACAAGGGAGCAGGAGCGGAACAGAATGCTGATCTTCCCAGGTACTTCCTAGTGGGCCAGTCCCAGAGCTGGATCCCATGGGTCCCAGAGGATTCACCTGCCTGTTTCTGGGAGAGGTGTCCATCTTAGTTCACTGAAACAAGTATTTTTTAAAAAAAATAAAAAAGATCTGTACATTGGTGGGAATTTGCTGCAGGAAGAATACAAAATGAGTGGGGTCAGCAGACGTGCTATCAATTTTTTTGCGTTGACAGCAAGTAGATGAAGTATCTTGTCAACAGTACTTCTTCCCTGTCTGCACAGAAGTCTTCAACTCATGCAAGGCCTGCAGGGCTGAGAGAGAAGTGATTCTGGAATGGGATGGCCCCCACATCTTGTGCAAAAACTCCTGGTTTTGTCCTTATGAACACTTTGTTTAGCATTGCTCTTGTGAGAGACAGGGCTGAATTTGCTCAGCCTGATTTATTGATCATACAAGGGCCTCTCATCCAGAGAAACCACATCTTGTGTGTTTAGTCCTGCCTATTTCAAAGCATTTCATTGTCTCTGAACGGGTCGACAGATGATCCTCTTTGCCCACTGCGATGCTGGTGAGCTGTTTGCTGTAAGTCCTTTTGTGGTTGAGTGGGTCAGGATATGCCTATGCCATTGCCATATGAAAACAGGCACAGAGACCTCAATCGCCCCAGCAGTGGAGGCAGAGGCAGGCAGGGGCTGGTGGGAAGCCTGAACTTTGAGTCATATCTTCATCAGCCTTCTCTCTATTAACTTCTAGTGACTGCTACTGTGAAAGCTTGCAGAAGGCACTTCAGTCACTGAGGTACGAGTTTTAAGAGTAAATAGTTAAAGAAGGATTTAATGATGTGAACAGGTTTTACAAGCATTTTTCCTTTCCACAAGGGTCTTGCTCCTTCCTCACTGTAGTGTTAGTGCTAGAGTTACAGACACCTGTTGTTGGGAAGCCCTGCTTGAGAAGATTGCAGCTGCTTTCCTGACAGCTCAGCCTGGAGCCTCCTGAAAGTAGTTCCCCATCCCAGTCCCAGAGCTGTGCTTGTGTTCTGGCTCTTCAGATAGCTGCAGTATTTAACAGCACCACTTACGCTAGCCTTCCCCAAAGGGCTGGGCTGGGCTGGGCCTCTCTGCCCACTTACAGCCTTGACTCTTCCTACACTTCTTTTCAGGGGAGTGTTGGACTACTAAATAAGCAGTGTAATGCTTGTCAGAAATCTGGAGTGTTGTCAGACCCCTCTTTGAGTCCTAGGGCCTAGAAACAGGGGGGTTGCCAGAAGTCAGAACAGCATGGCCTTGGAAGTGATCTGGGTGCGTGGATCTAGGGAACGCAAAAACTGAGCTTGGGAGTGGAAGTATCCTTGGGAAAAAAGGAGTTTTGTTTTATCACAGCACTGACAAGGAGCTAAACTTTCTGAAATACTACATATTTAATTTTGTTAGAACTGGGCTTATTCTTCCCCGTGAACTTGTTAGAAGGATGATGGAGCTTAGCTCTACCAGGTGTTTTGTTGAGTACGGCTGTGCCACACCCTCATATAAGCAGTGCTATTTTGGTGGCAGAGAATGGCTTCTTATCCCCAAACAAATCGGCTCTTCTGTCAAGTTAAAGCAGTGTTAATCCTTGAAGCACCACCCACAAGCGATTTAACTCAGGCCTTACAGGTTCCTAATTGTACATCCTGAACAGTGATGTAACTTGCAAGGCACTATATCCATACCACTGCAGTCTGTCCTTCCAAGCTCTCTTTATAGTCTGTCCTTTTCTGCTATGCTGTATGACCAGGAGGACAATCCACAGGGAGGTGGCAGAACTGCTGATGCAAGATAAGGTTAACCCAGAAGAGGATGCTAGTTTCCACAGTGCAGTGCAACACCTGTCCCTTCCCTCGCAGTCCAGCTACATGCAACAATTTGAAATTAGACAGCATTAGCAAGCCAAGCACCTGTTTGAACGTGTCCTGTGGTCGAATTTTGTGTGGCTGTAAATTAACCTGTTTAGTGTCTGGATGTTAAAGATGATGTTAGCTGTAAAGGTACCACAGTTATCTGTAAATAGTATGGGTCACTTGGAAGCCACAAACTGCCTTTGCATAATGTTTGCTATGCAGTGGACTGCAAGTTCAGGTGCCACTGTGAATCACACAATAAATACAGGCAGCAGTCAGCAAGGGAGACTGAATGTCAGGTTTTATTAAAGTGGATGAAATCCAGAAAAAAAAGTATAAAAGCCACTTAGATAAAACTATGATGCATCCTCACCATGACGTTGGTTGGTTGGTTAGTTCGTTAATTCAGGGTAACTGGAAAGCTCTTCAGATTAATTAGTAGCTTCATACAGAGCATATTCACTAGCTGGACGGACTTGAGCCTTTTTAGATGGAAAGGAAAGGAAGTGTGCTGGGGGGGAGGAAGACTTCAAAACAGATGGGGCAAGTGAGGGATCAGCTGCAAGCTAATGATGCTTTCTTGAGAGCAGGGCAAAAGGGACGCTCAGCAGTGTTAGATCACCAGGGCAGAATGGCTTAAAACAGAATGCTTTGTTGGACCTGGTAATTAAGCACTTTCCTGCAGGATGTAACTGAGGCCAATACCTTGGAAAACCAAAGGAAGCGGACATTTAAGAAACGAATGACAGGTGGAGTTCAAGGTCTCTTAATCCTTAGCTGTAGCCAGACAACAATATGCTCTTTCAAGATTTAGTTGCACAATTATGTATGTTAGGAGGCATTTAATTCTCCTTGTGTATCTAATGTTGATGACTTCTCAAGACGGGCACAGGAGCAGACATGAGCCCTGTACTAGGGTTACTATTTCAAGCCTTCTACTATGTTTCTCTGTGTGGTAAAATTCCTGCCCCTTATTGTTTCTGCATCTCCAGTTTACCAGATGGTGCAAGAAACTGGAAAAATGACCAAACAATTCTCCCCTTCTTGCTCTTGCTCCCCCATCTTTATAACAAGATGAATCACTTCAATACAAAGTTTAAGCTTCCTTGCTAACAAACAAGACAGCATCTCCCTGTGACAGAGAGGATTAGCGCAATCCAGTTTTATGCTGTGAGAAACCCGAGGGTACAATGAAGGGCGAACTTTTGCACTTCCACTTCTTTCCTCCCTTATCCACCTGCTCTGGCTTCTGGTCTGTCTGCCTTTAACCATAAGGAAAAAAAGGCTGGAGATGAGTCTTCTAATTTCTGCAGTCATTAGAGCTACAGAGAAGGAATGAAAACAAGGAACTAGACTGTAACTCACACTTCTTAGTGCCTGCAGAACAAAAAAGATGGAACTTGAGGAGTCCTATTAATTAATGTTAAATATTAATATGAACACTCTTATAGCTCTGGGGTGTAAATTTTTTAGGTCTCATCTGATGTCTGTTCTGCAGTTCAAGTCCTTCTGAACTCTGGAAGGGAACTGCATCCATACACTATGAATGGATAGACACTGCCTATGTTGTATGTGAAGTCTAGGTGAGCTTTGAAAGACTTGAACAAATGCTGACCTACTACTAGCAAACCTATTTTAAAAGTAATGCGAACCTTGAAATAAGAGTTCCTCTTTATACTTCTATGTAGACAAGTCCCTTGCAATTTTTTTAATGAATGAATGGATTAGTGAGCAAAACCTTCCGCTACGGTGTCACTGATACAAATTTATATACTAAAGAGTGGGGCTGGGTGTCCATCAGTCTGTGACACACAGCCTTTTTTTTTTTTTAACTGATATGATAAGCTAAATGAGACTTTAGGAATTTAAGCAATTGTTAGCAAGTGTTTTAGCTGGGAGTGGAGCGCTTTTTTCAGTTTATTATTTTACCGGTGTGCCACTGTGTATGGGTCAGTACATAGTATGCTTGGATCTACTAGAATAAATGCCACCAGAACTGTGGTTGAAACAGTTTCTGTTCATGCAGTAGCTGTATTGCTGTCATCAGATCTGCTTAACATGAAGATTTTATTTTATTTTTTTTTTAAAGTATTTCAGGTGAAAGCCTTAATCAGGTGCCTGTCTCCTAAGGCAGGCTCACATGTGGTGTTGTATAGACTGAAACATGACTGTCCTTAAAATTGTGGCATTTAAGAAACCATAATGACCAGAAGAATGCTCCAGGTGCCAAAGGGCAAGACTCTGGATTAGATGGGCTTGACCTTGCTCCAGCAGCTCTGGTTAATCACTGCAGGTGGTTGCTTTAGCCACTTGCTCCTTCTAAGTGCAGTATTTCAAGTGCTCCTGATGATCAGGCCCTAGATATAAGCAGGAGGTGCCCTGTGTCCTACACGTACTGTGTGTGCAACTCTGGCTTCCAGTGGTCTCACACTGTTGTCCTCTCCACATAAAGGCCTGCATTATGGATTTATAAATTCAGAAAGCAAGTGCTATTCTGGCTTGGTGTTTGCTCTGCCAGAGCAAGGTGGAGATGGCCCCTCTACAGCCAAGCTGAACTCCTTAGGGAATTTAATAATTTTGTCTGTTTTCTGAGCAGGTGTTTACTTGTATCACAACCACTCTCCTTCAGTGGTGCCCTGGCCCTGTCTGCTCAAAAGCAACTCAACTTAGGTCCAGAAGGCTACTGAATCCCCTGTAATCTCTGCAGAGCAGAGTTTCCCTCCAGGTCAGGGCTGAGATGGTGCTAGTGGGACCACAGTGGTCCTCTTCCATGCACATCAGTATTCTACTCTAGCACTGATAGGGTGCTCCAAAACCATTTACATCTTTATCACTGGTACAGCTCAGAACTAAGAAATGGAAGGTTTCTTTCTTTAAGAACAATATCATGTGTGTCTTTTTGTAATTAATCAGTGTGGTTCTCTGTTCTTATGTAGCCAACACAGAACTTGTATTTAGATTTAGTTCTTACTGCACTTCCCATAGCCCTCATGTTGATACTTCTTCCTGCTTCCTTTGACACTTAGACAATAAAATTCCCTCTGTACTGCTCTCAGCTTGTGCAGAGAAAACAAGATGTCTGTACTGTCTTTCTTTTTGATTTAAACTTTCCTGTTGTCAGCTGAGAAGCCAAAGGCACAGCCTTGAGTGACAGTATCAGACAGATTATGTATAGATGCCCTGTACTTGCAACAGTACGGACACAGAAGAACCCTCATTCTCCTTCAATTATCTGAACAGGTGAGTATGTCTGTACATGTAGAGGAGGCAGCTGCCAGAGGGTAAGAAGTGTGTATGTGGCTGTGTAGCAAAGGCCAAAACTCATCTTTTCCTCTTGAACTGCCACCAGTCAGGCTGGATGGAAAAAAAAGAAGTCAGTGGAGGCAGCAACAGAAATTTCAGTCTTGAAACAATACCATAAGGGTTAACACAAGTCTCTGCTTGCACTGCTCTAC